GGGGAGGGAACGGGCCGTGGCCTGGCCGCCTCCCCCACCGGGCGGCGTCCCGCGCCGGCAGCCTGGGGCCGGCAGCCCTCACATTCCGCCCGGAGTTGGACGAGACTTTCGGCAGCCTCCTACCTCTCAGCACCGGGCTCCAGAAATCATGTATTCCCTGGGCTAGCCGACCCGAGGCTGCTTCTCACTTGCCCACGGAAGGGTTTTGACTCCTTGGACTCCCGTGTCTCCCGCCCCGGAGGAGGGCGACCCTCCGCCCTCTTGCCGAGCGAGGAGCACGCTTTCCTCTCCTGTCCTCCCGGTAGTGGAAGCGAGAGGCGTCCTCGACCCGAGGGAGTTCTCTGTGCCTGCACACCCGATCTCTCCACCCCTTAGCGGGAGAGGAAGTCTTCTCTCCTTTTTCCTCTGACAGTTTAGAAAGAGAGGCACTGATGAGGCGCTCCATTCTCCTGAAACTGAAGGGTAGTACTTTTCCCCCAGAGTCGACTGGAAAGAGACAAGGGCTCAGCATGTGGGATCTGTAAGAGCGAGCGGGCACGGGGTTTGTAGCTTTGTATGTTGGTGGCAGGGTAGAAGTATTGTGGAGAGAGGCTTTGGGTGGCCTCTCAGCGCTTTCTTTTGTCAGTGTTTTCATTGTTAACTGTCATCCACGAATGGGGCAGCTGGGCATGGCATCAACACTTTTCCAGAGCAGCCTCACCAATTTCTAGTTCAGCGCTCAACACTAAGCAGGTGCTGGAACGACCTAAGGAATTAGTTTAACAACTGTCGGAAACATGTTGAAGTTCTTTATATGAGAGTGTAAGGGACCTTCCCCTTTTATAAAGCTCTTGTTAGAACGACTCTTTTCTGGGATTACCTTCAGGAGTCACATTTCTGGTATGTTAACAAAGTTCCCCTGTGATACCTTCGTTTTGGGATTAGTTTATCAACAACTAGACCTAACTTCTTAGTATTGACTCAGATCATGTTTCCCATTGCAAATAATTGGCTTGCATAGTGGCTGTGATTTGCCAGAAGACAAAGATTGGAGAGAAATTAATTTCTCTGAGGTTGTTAAGCTTGCTCTGAACACACCTTACTGACTCACTGAGTATAATGCTATGTCAGGAAGACGTGAAAGAATTGTAATGGTTGAATTTATAGTATTTACAATTAGCTATAGCTTTGCATTAAAGAAATACCAGTTTTTAAATGGATCCAGTGGATTTCCTTCTTGATCCTAAAATACTTTATAAACATTTAATCGAGTCTCACAACCTGAGGCTGCCAGTTAAACTGTTCTTGTTAAACAGATGGGAAAACGTGTAGAGAAGTTCAGTGATGTGCCCAAGACTGTATTACTAAGCCACTTGCAGAACAGTAATTGAGAAATAGGATTCTCTTGCTTCTAGGTTTATCCTCCAGTAACCAGGCTTCTTGTTTCTTTCTGTTGAGTTCTTTCCAGCTCATAGGGACACTGTATATATAGGGTTCCCAAGCAGTAGGTTTGAACTGTTAACCTTGTGGTTGTTGTTGTTGTTGTTAAGTGCCATCGAGTCGTTAGCAGTCCAATATTTATCCTGTAGTGCCATACAAGGACTTTAGTACTAGACTTTTTAATACTAAATTTATTAGTAGAATAGCCTCTTCTGGTTTATAAATAAGGTTTTTTTCATTGCTTTGTAAAAAGTTATTCTTAGTTTTCACTTCATGACCATCTTTTAATTTATTTAGTTTGTGTTGATTCTTTATACTTTTCTGTAGATGTGTTAAGCCTTTTCTTTTGAATTTGCATTGAAATGTGGACAAATGAAATGAAAAGCATTTTTCTAGATTTGTGAACTTTTTTTGGGCTAGTAAAATTAATCATAGATAATACTTTGAAACTGAAGAATCTTCTTTATTATATCTACCCAAATACAAGATGAATCTTTTAAGTTTGTTTCCACTTAAAAAACAATGTGTGATTATAGCTGTTTCTAAGCAGTAAACTAAAATGTTGTTGTGTTGTTGTGTGTTATTGAATCAGTTCTGACTCGGCGATCCTGTGTAGGGTTTCCAAGGAGCAGCTGGTAAATTTGAATTGCTGACCTTTTTGTTAGCAATACTGTGCTTATCGTACAGTGCCATGCCAGGACTCCAAACTAAAATGGACTAGTAAAATATGTCCATATTTTTCTAAATTCCGAGTGTAAATAAATTGTCGTAGGGAAAGGTTCATGCCATATGTGACTTTTTAGACTTGAGTAATTATTGAGGGTGAATTTTAAAAAGCTTTTTTTTTGTTTTTGTAAGTAAAGAAAAAGTATAGGCAGGTAGAGTTGGTCAAGCATAATATCAGTTTACCTATGTTGATAACATTGATCAGTGAAGGAATTTAATATTGTTGTTTTCCTAGTAAATTAGTCTTGGAAACTTACAACATGCATTTATGGATAGTTACTCTGTAGTTCCTATACCATTCAAGTTGTGTTCATAGAATTAAAGTATGTATTCAGTTACTGATATGAGTAAGAGTTTAATTACTTTTGACTCAATTATTTAACTATTTAACAAAAAGTATGTATATATTTGTCATCATTTGTATTTATTTGTTATATGTTAGTTACATTGATAAAGAATAGTATAATTATTCTCTCTCTTCAAGGAATTTACAGTTTCATTTGAAGTAATGATTTAATGCTTTATGAAATTCCTTGAAGCCGTCAAGTATTTGTGCATAGTAGATAATAAATATTTGAATAAATGAATGTTCACATAAGTTTCAAATCATTTGAGACAAGTACTTTCAGGAGTTCTGAAGAGGGAGGAATCACCTCTGTGTCTGATTTAAATTGTGCATTGAAGGATTAGTAATTAAGTATCATTGGTGCTGGAGGAAAGAACATTGGGGAACACCACAAAAATGCAGAGGCAGGTAAATATAAGAAGTCAGCTAGTTTATTAAGAATAGAGGAATGGCAAGGGAAGTTTCCCATGAAACTGAAATGGTAGGTTGATGCTACGTTATAAATGCCTATGAAAGCAGGATTTTGACTTGGTCATTAGGCAGTGAGAAGCAGTGGAGAAGTTTCTGAGTAGGGGATTAATATGATATAAGTAGCATTTTAGTAAAGTTAATCTCATAAAACAAAAAACAAACCCCCCTTCCATCAAGTCAATTCCAACTCATAGCTACCTTTTAGGTTTAAGTAGAACTACTCCGTTGGGTTTCCGAGACTGTAAATCTTTATGGGACCTGAAAACCTTATCTCTCTCAAGCAGAGTGCTGGTGGGTTTGAACTGTTGCCCTTGTGGGTAGCAACTCAAGACAACCCACAGTGCCACCTGGGTTACTTAATTAATCTCATAGGAAGGCTTAATCTTCACTTCTTTCTGGATATACAGCAAACAAATTAGGGTCCATAGGCCAAATCTAGCCTGCTGCCTTCTCTCTCTAGTTTTTTTGAGTAAGGTTCATGAGCTAACAGTAGTTTTCACATTTTTAAAAGGGTCATTAAAAAAAAAAAAAAAAAA